CCTGACTGTCACTGGGGTGTGGGTGCAGTGGGGGTTCTGACTGTCACTGGGGTGTGGGTGCAGTGGTGGTCCTGACTGTCACTGCTGTGTGGGTACAGTGGGGGGCCTGGCTATCACTGTCATAGGGGTGCAGTGGGGGTCCTGACTGTCACTGGGGTTGTGGGTGCAGTGGTGGTTCTGACTGTCACTGGGGTGTGGGTGCAGTGAGGGACCTGTTATCGTGTCTGTTTTCCGGATGAGGCTCAGCAGCTTGCCCAGGGAGCAAGTGAGGTGCTGCAGGACCCCCAGGAAGGGAATGGGCCTTTGAGCCCTAGGTAGGGCCCTGCCATGGGGAGCCCTTCTTGACCCCTGCTGCTTCCTTATGCCGGGAACTGCTGTGGTCCTGCCAGGCTCTCTCTGGAGGTTCTTGGGGAGAACCTCCTTGAGGAGCCCAGGCTTCTGCCTCTATTAGTCCTGGGCTTGGGGCAGTGACCCCATTCCTTCAGCCCCCCAGGACTCCAGAGCCCATGCTCTTTAGCCGGAGGAGTGAGGCTGAGCAGAGTGGGTGGCCTGAGGGGGCTCTGAGTGTGGGGTCTGGACAGAGTCCTGTCTCTGGGGGCCATCAGGGTCCCCTTCCCAGCTCTGAGTCCTCGAAGTAAAGGTTCTCTGGGAGAGGATCCACAGAAGAACAAGCAATAGGGGCAGACGCAAGCAGGACAGCGTGGGCTGAGAGATGGGTGGGAGGCGCCAATCGTAGCTCAAGTGCAGGAGCCGGGCTGCAGAGAGGACCCCTGCCTGCAGCCGGTGCCGCCTCCGCGATGCATGCTGCGTGTATGCGCAAGCCCGTGTGTGTGCCCGGCCACACTCCGAGCAGTGCCCCTCCGCTCTCGCCCACACTGGTGTGGCCCCAAGCCAGCCAGAAACCAGCCCTGGCCATAGTAATAGTTACTGTGGCGATGGTGACGACCCCTGTACAGAGCTGACTTAGTCCCTCCAAATCAGGGTCTCCACCCCAACACCTGTGAACATGGCCTTATTTGGGAACAGGTTCTCTGCAGATGTAATGAGTTAAGATAAGGTCTTACCGGGTTATGGTGGGCCCTAAATCTGATAGCTGGTGTCCTGAGAGGAAGAGAGGACACAGAAACACCCAGAGGAGAAGGGCACATGGAGAGGGAGCAGGGATGAGGTGACGCAGCCACCAGCCCAGAAACACCTGGCACCACCCGAAGCTGGACGGGGCAAGGAAGAACCCACCTGGCACGCACGGCCCTGCCAACTCCTCCACCCCAGACTCCACCTCCTGGGCTGTGAGAGAACACATGGCTGTTGTTTAGAGCCCCCCGCATATGGTACTCGGTTGCAGCAGCTGCAGGAAGCCACCACATCTGAGTGACAGGTTGTGGTTTGCAAAT